AAAATATCAAATAAGCTACCTAACGCGCTTGTCCAAATGGGTGGCAGAAGAAGGTTTAGGAGAGATAGCAAAAGGGCAACATTTACTCAAAGCTACAAAAACAGACAATTGTGGAGAGCCATGATCACCAATGACCTGAACACAAAGAATAGAAGAATAATTGAAGAGAGAAATAAAATTAAGAATGAATATTGATGATGTAAAAGAAGAAATAAATGAGATGGTTTGACTTGTTTTGTTTACGGCATATCAACAACTCAATGGTTTATCTAATGCCGACAAGAAGTTAATTGCTAGTAATATTTTTCCAAAAATGGATTACAGGTAATATTTTTAAAAAATGTATTGCTGGTAATATTTTTTCTTCAAAAAAGTATTTCTGGTAATACTATTTCACAAGAATGTATTGCTGGTACACAAACCTATTTTTACACTATCATGGTGTTTTGAACATAGCTTGATTGTTAACTATTTGCCCATATTCGGGATGCTAACAGGTGCTACCCTGGTTCAGGGTGGACATGGGAACACCAGCAATTAAGAGGCGGTTCCATGCTCCTCAAAACCACGTGATCAGAGGCCTTGATGTCGGACGTAGTTTATCGTCTCACCCAGGACGCGGATGTAGTTTATCGTCGTATCCAGTGCGCGGATGTAGCGCTGTAGTGTATTGGCATAACCAGGCCACAAATAAAGGAGAAAAGAAAAAGATTAAAAAGAAAGGGGAGTGACAAGTAATAAAGGCATATGAGTGAAAATAAAAGTAAATAAAAGATGAAGGTATGGCAATGAAAATAAAGAATGTAAAATTAGAAAAAGAGGAAAGTTTAAGAGGAAAGAAATAAAAAAAGACGAATAAAGCGTGAAGATGAGAGAATATGGGATTTTATAGAAAACTAGCAGCGTTGCCCGTGCTTGATTCAAAAATTGTATGACTCATACAGCAATCGCTATCACTTGACTTAAAATATTTTTGCCCTTCCTTGCTTTTAAAGGAGTGCCCTTTGCCGTGCTGATGTTGCAACATGCCTTACTTCACACTGCGAATATTTTCTAAGCTCTATACTAAACATTAAGTCTGTTACGAAAAAAGAACTAAACAAAATGAACACAAAACGATCAGTTTTAAAAAAGGACTCGTAACTGGAAAAACCGAATGAAAAAAGAATATTAGGAACAAATGCATTTTCACACCCAACCCAGTTCTGCGGAATCAGAATCAACGTTGAGTTTAAGCAAGCGAATGAGCTAATTGGAGTAAAGTGACATGCAGATTTAAATTTTTCCCAATTGTGACGAATGCAGCTATCGATTGTTTTGCATGCTAGCATGCTAGTTAACATTCGTGTCAGTCGGCTGTTGGCTCTCACGCTGGCCAATGGAATCCTCCTGCCTATTCGTGGCAGCCAGCTATAGGCTCTCACTCTGGCCAGTAGAAAATGGCCGCAAACTACATGAAAACTGCCGTAAAAACATGAAAAAAATCGATATTTTCACTATCGATGGGAGTTTGGAAATGCAAAGTCGGTTTTGGCCTTCCCGCTAACTTGGAGCATGTGCATGTAAATTCTGGTGCAAATCCGTCGAAAATTATGCCCGTGCATTCGTTACACACACACACACACACACACACACACACACACACACACACAGACACTGCCTTTTATAGTTAGGGATAATGATAAAAAATAATGATAGGTAATTAAAATGAAAAGAAAAGGAAGAAAATAACCAAGGAATTCAAAATAATAAAATGTAAAAAAAAGATGAAAAAAACAAAATACATACAATGCAAACTAAAAGGAGAGATGGTTGGTTTCGTTTCGTTTGTTTTACGGCATATCAACACCTCAATGGGTTATTTAATGCCTACAAGATTTTTATTACTGCTAGTAATTTATCTTCAAAATTCTGGTAATTTTTCTCTTTAAAAATGCATTGCTGGTAATAATTTTCCAAGAAAAATATTGTTGTTATTAAAACCTATTTTTCATACTTTCATATTGATTTGACCCCTATTGGGGTAAACTATTTGTCCATGGATGGGACCCTGACAGATGCTACCAATCCGGGTCAGAGTGGACCTGGGAACACCAGGAATTAATAGGTGATTCCACGCTCCTCAAAACCTAACTGATAAGAGGCCTTGTTGCCGGATGAAGTTTATACCCAGGACAAAAGGAGAGATGCAAAGAAAGTATTGGAAATAAATTCGTTAAGAGAAATTAGACTAAAATGAATGAAAAAAGACGGAAATGTAAATGAAAGAAAGAAAAATGATAAAAAAAGAACATAGCTAAGATAGAGGAAGAAAGAATGTAAAATAATGGAAGACATGGAAGTAAGAAAGAAAGAAGAAAGGAAGAACTAATAAGGATTCAGGAGGTTAACGAAAGAACGAATGAAACAAAGAAAGAAGAAATAAAAAGGAAAAGGAAAAAGAAGAATGAAAAAAAAAAAGAAACGGGAAATTAAATGAAATAAATATATAAACAATGGCGAAGAAAAAAAAGAGAGAATATAATAGACAAATAGAAAAAGGAAAGAAGAGAATAAAAACCAAAAGAGAAAAATAAAAGAAGCAAAGATGAACCAATGAAAGGAAGCGCAATGACTTGCGACAAATTCATTGATGCCTGAATATTTATAACCTCAACTGATATCAGTGTCGGCCCTTGGGCCTTCCAATTTACACGACACAGGCAATATTTTTTATATATATATATATATATATATATATATATATATATATATATATATATATATGTGTGTGTGTGTGTGTGTGTGTGTGTGTGTGTGTATGTATGTTTATATATATATATATATATATATATATATATATATATATATATATAAACTATATTTTCACTGATTCGATTTTTATTTAGATTTTTTATAAAGTTCATACAATCTTCAGCTTAAAGCTGGACACGTTTTCTATCTGTTGCTTCTCTGGTGATCAATAGATCACTCTCCACACACATACAGAGAGAGAGAGAGAGAGAGACACATACGCGAGAACACACAGACACATATCTACAAGCACACACACACACACACACACACATATATATATATATATATATATATATATATATATATATATATATACAGTGAGAGAGAGACATACATAGAGAGAGAGAGAGAATTAAATATCGAATGCAGATCAAATATGGATCGGAATTCGACAGGATGATAAAATAAAGGAACAAATATGAAACGTAAATCAATCTTTTTTTTCATTTTTCTTAAAGCTTTGTCAGAGCTTGGGAAAAAACAGACAAACAGGGAGACAAGTATATTTTTGAGTCAGTTCTCATTGGTCAGCCACGTGTCATGTGCATTAAAACCGTAGATAATGCTATACGTATTTAAGTTTGTGAAGATAACTTGTATGTCTAAGTAAGCATCGGATGGTAACGTGTATTCATAATTGTGTATGTGTTCCTGACTAGTGGGAGTTTTAATGTCTTGATCTTTGTGCGAATAGCGAGGTAATGCATTGTTTTAGGCGTGTGTTTATAGTTCGTAATAATCTTATTATTAAGTTTTCAATGTATATTTTCCTTAAACAATTATGTTCTTTTTAAATTAGAGTGACATTAGTGAAATCAAAGCTATGTCCAACATTGTTCCGATGCAAAACGTGAGTGTAGATTCAGAACTCTTCGGATATGTAGTATGGATTCAGAGTTGTTCGTACATGTATACCGGAATCAGGCACCTTAGGACATGTAGCCCGGAATCAGAGCCCTTTGGATATACAGCCTGGAATCAGAGTCCTTCGAATATGTAGCCCGGAATCAGAGCCCTCGGAAATGCAGCCCGGAATCAGAGCCCTTCGGATATGTAGCCAGGAATAAGGGCACTTGGAATATGTAACAAGGAATCACAGATTTTCGGATATGTAGCCTGGAATCAGAGCATTTCTGATAGGTAGCCCCAAATCAGAGTACATCGGATTTTGTAGCTCAGAATCAGTGAACTTTGCATATGTAGCTCTGAATCAGTGCCCTTCAGATACGTAGCCAGAAATCAGAGCCCTTAGGGTATGTAGCCTGAATCAGAGCACTTCTGATATATAGCCCGGAATCAGAGACCATCAGATATTTACCCTGGAACAAGAGCACTTTGGACATGTAACAGGGAATCAGAGCCCTTCAGATTTGTAGCCTGGAATCAGAGCACTTTGGAAACGTAGCTCGGAATCAGAGCCATTCGGGTATGCAGCCAGGAAGCAGAGCACTTCAGATATATAGCCCGGAACCAGAGCCGTCGGATATGTAGCCTGAAATCAGAGCCCTTAGGTAATGTAGCCGGAATCAGAGCCCTCGGATATGTAGCCCGGAATCAGAGCCCTTCGATTATGTAGCCCAATATTAGAGCCCGTTCAGATATGTGGGCTGGAATCAGAGCCGTTCTGATATGTCGCTCGGAATCAGAGCCCTTCGCATATATAGCCCAGAATACCTAAATGAATAGCATTCATTCGGCATCACTCAACTAACTCTTAAAAGACAATCGTGAAAAGAATTTAACACGGATTAACACCAAACCACTTTAAAATGGTTAAAGTGGTCGAAAGCGTCTCGGATAATAGACGTCACGGACAAATTTTTCGCGCCCTTATCTCAAGACACGGAAAATTTAGGAATACTAGAAAAATTCCTAATAAAATTCATCACATTTTCCTGAAGTGTCATATTCAAAGAAACATGATTGCAAGTAAGTTTGCTTCCCAAATATAAATATATTTTACATATCAACAATCTACATTTAGAAAAAGTGATTATATATTTTCGCTTGCTTGATTTAATCATGAAATATATAACAGTTTGTATTACTTGAATCAAATAAACGAATATATAATGTGCTAACATGAGAACAGAATACCTATTTAGTAACAAAGGAGTACAGGATGCTATGTACTGTTTGGGGGAATATCTTTTACCTTTGATGTTATGTCAAGTGCCATACGTGATATATACTGTTCTCTTTAGATTCCTGACTGACAAAACAGAAGATGACAAGGCAGAAGATTTCGCGCAGTTGGCTGCCGTTTCTTTCAGCGGGTTAATTTTATAAAAAGAAAAAAAGGAGGAATTATTTCTTACCTAAGAGTTAATTGCACAATCTAGATGATTTAATTGCAAACCTACTTAAAACTTGACACCATATTTGAACGGTAGCTGATAACTAGGTAAAAGATGAATACAATAAAAAGAAAAAATGCCTGTCATCCAACTTAAAACCCGTTATTGGCGGTATTTATGAGAATCTGGAATAATGAAAATAAATTATCCCAGAATAGGAAAAATAAAAAGTGAATAATTTCTAACGAAAATTCGAAAACATAAAGAAAGATTTATTGGTTCATATGATTCATTGCATTTCTTGACATGAAAAGAACTTTGAACGAAAGTAGATAAATATACGTGAATATTTGGTAATAACATTTCGGGGGGTGCTTCGCAGTAAAAGGCGAAAAATGGCTGTAAAAACAGTATATACTTTTAATATTATCTTTTCTTTTTGTTACCGGGAAGAATTAGAATGATTTATATGTTTGTTTGTTTTTTGTTTTTTTGTTGTTGTTGTTTTGTTTTTTTTTAACTTTATTGTCCTCGAGGGACGACCAGAGAATATCGAAAAGTAAAACACAAAAATGACATTGAGACAAAAGTAAATCTTTCGACAAGCGGAAAATGATTCAGAATGTGCCTTCACGTATCAAAGAAAACTGTCGGTGTCAATAAAGAAAATGAATAAATATAAAATAAAATGAAAAAAATGAAAAATATTAAAAATAAAATGTATAATAAAAAATAATGAAAAAATAAAAAAAAATACGAAAAAAAGAAAAAATACTAAAAATAAAATTTAAAAAATAAATGAAAAATAAAAAACAAAATTATAAAAAAAAATGAAAATAATATATTAATAAACTAAAATAAAATAAAAAAGAAAAGAATAAAAAATAAAAATGAAAAATAATACAAACAACGGAAAAAGGATAAAAATATAAAAATAATAACAAATTAAAAAAATTAAAATTGATATAAAAAATAACAAAATAATAAAAAATAAAATAAATATAAAAAAATTATAAAGAAAAATAAAAAAATAAAATAAAAACCGAAACAAAAATAAACAAAACTCGAGCAAAAACAAAAATCAAAAACGAAAAAAAAAAAAAAAAAAAAAAGACGGTAGTATTGGACCGGAACAAAGTTTTCGGCATTTTTAAGAGGTTTTCAAAGATTACATCATCATCATCATAACCATCATCATCAGTCTCATGACCATTTGAGCTTGTACCCATCCCTCTATAGTTCAAACCATATTCGATGTCTTCCAGCTTGTAAGCTCTCTTGTGTCACTGACACGTAATCTTCGATACCATTGTTGCAACACTACGGCCGGGCTGTTTAGATCAGTCTAGAAAGCCACCCTCCCACAACCTGTCAAACGATGTTGCGTCTTCAACACGCTGACTACATAAATAACTATAGAACCTAGTCTACCCTATTCTGTTAGATAGCCATTGACACTATAAGAAGCTTCAGGTGCATTTTGATGGGAAATTTTAATCTGTTTGTTGTCTAGCCGACCTTCTCAGTTGGCTGTGGTACCGGTTTAGTCATCAAAGTCACAAACAAACCGAATGCAAAATTGTTTTTTACATTCTTACTAGTGCCATTCGAGGAGTAGCCTGACAATATATTCGACTAGTTTTCACGTATCCACGTATTTTCAGACGCCTTACAACGCACATATGACATATGTGGAATATCTCCGCGATGTCCCGTTTAACAGCATATATGTAATTATATTATGTTATTTGTACAGAGTCTTTTCCTTTTTGGAAATAAAAGCACATCAAATGGCGGACATGGTACTTATTTCCCTCCATTTTAACGCAGAAATATTTATAATTATAGTAAAAACTCATCAGAAATATTTCAATCACAGCTGTTAAGGAAAGAAAAAAACAAAAGTCCGAATGATGTCAATAGTCTACATAATAGCTCATCTCAGAAATATAGACAGATACTGAAGGGCTGAAACATTGTAATAAATATGGCGACAAAGATGAGGACAATAGTCCGAATAATGTAAATAGTGTACATAATACCTCATCTCAGAAATATAGACAGATACTGAAAGGTCGAAACGTTGTAATAAATATGGCGACAAAGATGAGGACAATAGTCCGAATAATGTAAATAGTGTACATATTACCTCATCTCAGAAATATAGACGGATAAAAACAAAAGGTTGAAAAACATTTTGAAAAGTATGAAAAAAATCAAACTCGGAATTGTTAATCGGATTGCCGAGTTCCAGTTCCCGTTAGGTTCGTTATATTAAATTACGCGCAAATAAACTTTGGAAAGATATGAATCCACCTCTTCTCCCCTAGCTATGGGTTAATTAGTAAGACTTGTATCACTAAACCATTTTTATTTCAAAGAAAAAAAAACTCTCACGATTTAAAAATATTTTCTGGCTTTAAATAAGCTGCAAAGTGTTGATAAGCCGTAGAAAACGAATCAATCTGTCGCTTCTGGTCTCTTTTTAATCTCTAACAAAATGTTCCACTAATTACTGAAATAGAAGAGGTTAGATATGCCATAGTAGTTCAGCATAGTTTCTTTGTTTCAAACAGTATTTTCCTATTTCTTAATACTTTGCTTAGTTTCGGGAAAGATAATTAACTTGTCAGAAAATTTTTTTTAAGCATTTAAATCTTTACAGACAAGCATATTCATATTTCTTTTGTGTCGAGTGGTAGGCGGGTAAAAGGGTTTCACAGTCACTTTTCAAGGAAGTCGAGGAGGATCATTAGCACATTATAGAAAATGAAGAAAAATAAGATCTATTCAAAGGAAGACCGGGGCGTTGTAACAAATATGGCGAAAAAGATGAGGACAATAGTCCAAACAATGTAAATAATGTAAATTTTCCTTGTCTGTTATATTCAACGAAACATTTTTAAAAGAAAGGTTGCTGCCCAAATATAGATTAATGATATCATATATATATATATATATATATATATATATGTGTGTGTGTGTGTGTTTTGTGCGCGTGTGTGTGTGTGTGTTTTCTAGATGTTTGCAAGTAAAATATATTCCATTGTGAAGGAGGACCACTGACGCAGCAAGCGTTGCTGATTTTGTGATTTTTATATATATATATATATATATATATATATATATATATATATATATATATATATATATATATATATATATATATTATCACTGTTGAGTTGCTAATTTCTTCTGTTAGATTGTTTGTCAACAAAGTCAAGATGGCTTAATATTCAGTCCGAGGTGGGAGAAGAGATGTTTTCATGCCTTTTTCAATACCAACTGCATCTAAATGACGAAAAGAAATCGACTGGATTTCGAACTCGGCTCTTCGATTTTGCCGCCATGCATTACACCAGACGAATATTCATCCTGCACACACACACACACACACACACACACACACACACATATATATATATATATATATTATCACAATCATTATCATGGGTACCACCATTATTATCATAGCTACAACAGTCTTTATTGCCCCCACCTTTTTATAATTCCGTCATTTAGGCTAAATTTACCATTAACACATCAATATCAAGTATTACTATTATGAATAATAATTAATAAGACTGCTCTTATCACTACCAGCATAATCACTACTGTCAACAACATACAAATAGTTAGCGTTGAAAATAGAAATATCATCATCCCCATGACCACAAACAGAGCCCAGTTCAAGTGTTGGTGAAAAGGCCCAGACCAATAAGAGTGTATGTGCGCGTCTACGCATGATTGTAAGTTCCTCTGTCGGCCTATGCGGTAGATTTGAAAAGCGTCAAGAACACGCCTACACGTTACTTGTTGAAACGAACATTGCTACACATAACAAGCTAAGGTCCCGACACCGAAATAGAATTACCACTGCGTATGTATGTATTACGCAAACGCAAGCATAAAATGTACCCAATTTTAACAAAAAAATTAGTTAGTCTGATGATCGCAAAAGCGTGAAACGCAGGGTTACAAACTGATGTCCAGATAACTCGTTTGTTTACATTCGTAGAAAAAGATAAATGCTAGAATTAGCTGTTTCTGTCTACCAAGTGAAGATAGCTCAGTGGTAGAATCTCTGGTTGACATCAAAATCAGTTGGGTTTCGCTTGTGGCTTGAGACCTATATAGTCGCAATGAGAAGCTGTGATACAGCGAAACAGTATTGTCTGCGAATGACACACACACACATATATATATTATATATATATATATATATATATATATATATATATATATATATATATATATAGTTAAATTCCCAGATCAGTTCTGTGGACAAGACAAATTGGTATAAAATGCCAATTAATTTAGACACACATACGCACACACTCTTACGGTTTTTATCTGCCCATAGTGACGCATATATATTTAGCTACACATAGCTATATATTAAATAATAGTTTATATATATATTATACCAATTTGTCTTGTCCACAAAATTCACCTGGTCAATTTAACTATATTGTCGGCATGGAAAAAAATCCATTACTATAAAAGTAATTTACATTAACCAGATAAAAAGGCTTAGACAGAAGCGTCTATCTTTTTAAATTTGGATTTTTTAATGTAACTATAACAACAAAAACATTTCGATTTCATTTTTGCCTTGAAAAAGTCGGAAGACGAAACGCGTCGGCAAAATGTAAGATTTTTCCAATTGTCATTTTATGCCATATATATATATATATATATATATATATATATATATATATATAGAGAGAGAGAGAGAGAGAGAGAGAGAAGAGACATAGAAAGGAGAAAGTTAGCTCGCTAGATATATACGTTTAAAGCAAAATAAAATCTTATATAGTCTATAATTTCTCGCCTTTTACTTGTGCCATTCAAAATTAATTTAGTAGCGTTTCCTTTTCTTTTTTGCCCCTTCACCACATATACACTGGGGCGCAGGTGCGCGCGGACGCACATACGCACACGCTCTTATGGTTTTCCTCTGTCCATAGTGACGAAGATATATTTAGCTCT